CGTGACTATGAGATTGTGGCCACAGATCATGAGCCGGTGGACGCGCTGCATTCAGGAACTCTGGTTCCCAGTCGAGAGCTTCCCGTGGCTTTTGTCCGCCGATGAGGTATGAAAATTACTTCTCATTCAAGGCCATAAGAATATTAGCAAAGGTTTGATGCTCCTGTGTGCATTTTAAGGTTCTTCTCTTGTGTTTTGAAACCCCCTTTTTTTTCTTTGCAGATACTAACCTGAACAGATGACTCCATATTAATGGATCCGACACATTGCGAGGCCTTTATACTGCTGCTAAATGATAGAATAAATCAATCTCACACTTATACCTCAAACTATTAGTATTTAGTTTTATGATACTAGTAAATAATTCTTCTATTTATTACTTTATTAAAATGACAGCTTAAAGTAAATATTTAAGTTTTTTTCATAATTGCTGCTACCTAATATATTACTATAGTAAATATATTTGACTAAAATGTTAAAATTATTATGTAGAGATGGTACATTTTCTATGCAATATTATTTAGTACTGAAATCATTCCATGTACAGTATTATGTAAAATCTTTTTTCTTTTTTAATACAAAAAGTGTAGAAATGTTGTACATACATGTTATATAAAACATAAATGTAACATTCTATTTATGTACTCATAAATAAATATGTATAATATGTTTAATGTATGTCTGTTTGAGTGATGAAAAAACAATGAGTGATTGTTGAAAAGAAAATCACAAGAGTCTAGAAATTCACTGGATATTGTTCACCACTTTTTTCTTAATAAAACGTTTAAATGTAATGTCTGATATAAATTGAATTCAGTGTGTATGACACACAAAAAAAAAACTTTCCTTTCACTTACTAAATAAAAAATAAAAAATAAATAAAACTGCTGTGCCATCTGGACATTGTAATATATACTAAACTATAGTGAACCATGGTTTTAGTTTCTGATCTTTCTTTTTTATCAGTTCTTTCTGGTCCTCAAATCTGATTGGCTGAAAGAGCGCGCTATTCTAGTGATAACAGAACTCTTCCAACCGCTTCACCGTTTGTATCACTCTGCTTCCTGTATTTCTCACAGGGAGTGTCATGGCGGACACCCAAATCCACTATAATTTTATAAATAATAATGTTTTTGTGTCATGGTTTTTTAGGCGAGAAAGTAATTGTTTAGACTTCAAATATGCGGTTTATTAATAAAAATAACATCTATTTGAAAATTTGCTTAGACACTTTCGGAGATGTGAGCTCCAGGTCATCAGCGGCCTTTCAGCGCTCATGAACCCGCCGAGAGCAGCCTCACCTCGGCCAGATCTTCTGGAATTTGCCGCTGGCTCTGATGTCTCTATAGTGGTTAAACATGAGATATAATTTGTTTTGGGTAATTCTAACGGGCAGTCTTTAGTCTCATTAATTTATTATTTGTTCCAGAGCAAATAGTTTTGGCTGAGAGCAAAACCTCATCATGTTATACTTTATGTAACTTCAATGCTGTATATCAGAGCACTGCCTTGTGCTCAATGTTCCTTTGTTACTAAAGTTCTAAAGTGACCTTTTCGAATTAGTAACATAGGCTTGAGCTCAGCTGTTAAACTGTCAAACTGAGATTATAATCCGTGGCGGAAGGAAGTAGTTCCGCACAAAAGAGGGATTTTAAAGACTAGACAAGGGTCGTTGTCTCTTTTTTATTTACACACTTGTGCCGTCAAACTGTTTTATAAACTCAATATCACACTCGTAGCAGTGCGATTTGCCATAGGTATGATGATTACCTATGACATGAGGCCGAATCACAGCCATAGCATATATATATATATTGTGGTGGGAGGAGCAAACGACAGACACAGTGGGTGTGGTGTCAGGCCTCGGAGAGGCTTAGAGAAAATAACAAAAATGCCCAAAACAGGGAATAAAAGTGTCCAAAGGGAAAGGGCGTTCAAAATAAACAGGGGATCTGGTGTCCTCGTTGTGCTGCGGGGTTCGGGAAGGAAGGGTCCAGGTGAGGGGCGGAGTCCGGCGGCCGCACGCGCTCCCCTGTTGGTCCGGGGCACGAGGAGCGGCGGCTTCTTCTGAGCGGCTTCGTCCTCCTTGGCCCACGGTGCTTCCCGGGGATAAACGGCCCCGCATCCTGGCCCGTCAGCCGTATAACGGGTGCGGTTCTAGTCCGGACAGCGGGTCCGACAGCTCACGGCTCTGGCGGTGCGGGAGTCCCTCTACGCCTTACCGCAGGAAGTAGGGGTGCTGAGGGTGCTGCAGCACCCCCTGGCGTGTAGCCCAAGAAAAAATGGGGGGGCTGGGGGTGCGGTGTTAAAAATAAATAAATGAAAATTTTGTAACAAAAAAATAAATTAAAATTTATTTTATACATTTGTATATTCATTCAAATTAATAGAAAAAAAGAAGCCTAAGCCTACAATAGGCTTGTTTGACATGAGCACATTCTGCGCAGAACCAATCACCGGTGATCACCGCGAGATACATGCCGGTTAGAAAAGTGTCCGATGCTGCGTCTCAATGTGCCTACTTATACTACGCCCTTAAAGTATGTACTCTTTTGGTGAAGAAAAAGTACACACTTTTGAGTGTGTAGTAGAAGAGTAGGCAAGCTTTGGGACATACTATCACGTCACACAATTGTGTCTTTAAAGTCGCATTAAATCAAAATTGACTTTATTTACTTTACCAGCGCACATTGCTAGCTTGATGAGAACAATTAATCCGTGCAAGTTAATCCGCTGAAAAAAATTGTTTGTCTTGGTAATCTTTAATCAAAATCTGAACATTTACTTCCGCTCTGGAATTGCATTCCTTCTCTGATGACGTCAGTTTGACGGCTTGGGCAGAATATCCTTAAACACACCCCTCCAACCTTTAGTTTGCTATGAGTGAGAGATGAGAGGAGGAGCGCAAAAATAAAACCACGCCCTCAAGTACGTCACTTCACTGAAATAAAGTCGGCAGCAACTTCCGATTCACGCGGACTTTAAAGGACCGCTCTGTCGCATAAATACACGCACCCTGTCACTGTAAACTGGCCTGTCAATCATCTTGTCACAGTTAACATCCTCCACATTTCATTTAATTTAACTTCCTACCGTACTGGACAGAAAAGAAGTAGCTGTTGATCTGCCAGTCACGGGTCTTTCATGCCGAGAACTCTGCTCATATTTTCTGCATAATGATGCATTTAAAAGTTAACGACCAAATGGATGTTTATAAAAGTTCACATTGCTGTTACAGATTAAATATAACACGGATAACAATAAATAAATATTTTTTACCAGGTTAAATGTTGATTATTAGTAACTCAAACTCCTTTTTGTAAACCTCTCTACCTAACCGTCGATCGCGCGCATCCGCCACGTTTGTAGTTTTTCTAACGTTTTATTCGTGTTTGTAGTTCTGGACCGAATCTTTCGCCAAAGCGCAATGGATTGTGGGCAATTTTAGCCATTAGAGTGTGCATGGATTCACACTTCAAAAATCGACCTGAAATAGTAGACCATCCGGGGACTTTTGGCATACTCTTTTCAACATACTATGCTTTGGGACACACTTATTCTAATCTCACATAGGCCACGTTCACACAGCAGCAGAATAGGGTTGTCAGTCTGTATTTGAGTCCTTAATACGGTTACGTTCACACACAGTTCGGTTATTTATGGGTGTGACAACCGCATTCTCGGAATACACACGCTGTGTGAACGGAACAGGACTGGACAACTGGTTGCCTGCCACGTCATACAGTGCGAGAGGGAGTCGCTCTCCGCAACAAACACGTGTCTACCATGGGGTGCATGTTTTCGGTAACTTACAGTGACGGAGAAATGAGCTGCGTGTCATCTGAAATTTTTAGATCCCGTCAGTTGTGTTCTACATGCGATTCAAATGCTCCGCTCTCCACCCAAATATAAAAGCTTCTATCGGTTAATGAAGATTTGACGAATGAACTCGCGGCTTGACTGGACTCTTGTCGTGTCAGAAAGTGATAAGACTTTCAGTTTTATGGACATCGCCATCTTTGATTTTACTTTGGTCACTGTCGCTATGGTTACTACGCTGTGTGTTTTGTTGCAAAAGCGAAAATACTTTGTTTGGCCTTCCAAAAGAGGACACAACTAGAAACCAGTTGTTAAGTATTTACAACACTGTCCCAGAACAGTTCAACCCAAATATTCAGATGTGTGCAGCGCATTTTATGGAGGACCATTTCCTGATCCTGGGAGAGTAGACTACAATGCCGGCTGTTCTGACTCACAGGCTGCAAGTACATTTTCAAATTTAAAGAAATTGCCACTGATGATTCAAACGAGGGTTTTGAGCAGTGTAGAGTAGCGCTTGTTTGTCGTTTCTCTGATCACAAATGCAGACATGGTTTTGTGTTTACACTGCGCGATGCAATGCAATGCGTAAAAAGACAGTATAAGTCATTATAATCCGTAATTATTTCCCCACTGGATGCAACAAATGCCTCGTTTATAATGGGTTTTGTTGGTTTGGTCTCATTGCTCCGGGACACGGCCTCACAATATGGTAAGGGGCGTAACATTTCCATCACACGCTTGAGGTATTCAGCCAGTCACAACGCACTGGATAGCTGGCCAATCAGAGCACACCTTGCTTTTCAGACCAATGAGCTTTGTAAAAATGGACGCGTTTCCGAAAGGTGGGGCATAGAGGAGAAACAATGTACAGTATGTGGAAAATAATGTGTTTTTTGAACCTTAAACCGCATACACATTTCATTACACCAAATAATGTTCTTTTTAGCATCATATGACCCCTTTAACAGACATTCTACAAAAAAAAAAAAAGCCATTAACCATGTAAGAAATTCAGACCACAGGGCAAAAAGAAACTCATGCACAGTGCAAGTTAGATATATCCAGCTTCAAACAAAACACTTGTCAGATGTTCAACAAAAGAGGCAACAAAATGACTGATTTTTAAATGGAGGGGTTATATTTCATTCATGCATCCTATAGCCAGAAATGAAGCACAATCATGGACAGGGAGGCATGTATGTGGTCTCAAACACATCACCTGAAAGTGAAAGAGGAACAGGAAGTCAGCTTGACACACATGTTCAACAGTGAAATCAGCCAAAAGCACGAGCCACTGAAAGCATACTTTGCTGATAAACCTCAACGACCGCTGGCTTGAGATTCTGCACTGCAAGAACCTGTTTCAGTTGTAGCCTGTAGGTCATGGGGACACCCTTGGGAACCTGTGAGACAGAAGGGATGAAGAGAAGTACATATGCAGCACACATGAAAGGGCCAAATAGAGAACATCTCACCTCTTTCAGATACACAAGCACATGGTCATCTCCAGCATCAACCCGCTGCACTAATGGAGCAAATGAATCTGGTGGCGATCCAAGCTGAGAGGAAAAGTCCATTAAAATCTGAAGCAGCTTAAAGCATCTTAGGACTTTACATACAATTCATCATAAAACATACAAACCAGTGACGTATCTGCTGTGAAACCCGACAGGAGTTTAATGTTCACGATAACCATGTTAGTAGTTGGTTTTGCACCATTGTACCTAAAGAGAAAAGAGAAAAAATAAAAATAAAAATGAAAAGTCGTCAAGCACTTAATTTGGTGCATCTACAAAAATGGCTTAAGGCTGCTCAGAGGTGGCATAAATGGCATTTATGCAGCAACTCCAACTGTATACTTTGATATTAGGGGCTGAGGTGGGTCAGAACTACATGATTTGGACTGGCTTTCATGTGAAATAACCACAGAATTGAGCAAGCACAGAGCAGCCTTATCTCGGCTGTGTAAAGATGCGTTAAGGGTCAAACAGGACACAAAGTCAAAGCTGTTCTTACTTCACAGTGATGTTCAACATGAGATCTGCTTAAAAGGACTTTTCAGTTTCATTTTTGCATTTTTGCGCTAGTAACTTGGCTGGTTTAGGCCTGTCAGGGACAACGGTCAACTGAAGTTTTCCACATTTAGTGTGGTGGTCAGTTCATAGCAGTGACAGAAATTAAGACTTACTGAAATCATTCTTGCACATGAGATATTGCTTAATTTTGATAGAATGCAATACTCCTGGAAGGTGGCCCTGTATTTTACATTGCTAATTCAAACAGTTACAACAGGCTACAGCTTACTGTGAACGCTCAAAGCAAGGTGACACTATCAGCTTGCACATCTCTAACGGAATTAGAAAAAAAAAACACCTATTACATTAATAAAATATTAATCCAGACCATGATGCACTTGGACAGATAGTTGAAGACTGTGGCCATCCTAGAATCGCCCCTGGTGTGAACGTAGCCTTAGTCACTACAGTTAAAGGGATGCTATTTTATTTCTTCATAATATTTCAAAGTTAGTGTTGTGTTTGTGTGTTTTAAGTGTGTACCTGTTTTGGCATGGCTCCGGCCTGCAGTGGCGCCCTGTGTGTTTGTCCCACTGATCTAAAAAGCTTCAAACATAGATCACAGATTTTATTAATAGCATTATAACTGTAACACTCCTGATAGTAAATCCAGCTGTCAGTCGATAGTAGGAAAAAAATACTATGGTGCCCATCAACTGTTCTCATACCAACATTTTTCAAAATATCTTCTTTTGTGTTCAACAGAAGAAAGAAACTTCCTACAAGTGGAAGGTTTTCTAAAGACACCGGAAGATATAAACAAAACAAAAAAAGTGGACATTTTCACTTAGGGGTGTACTCACTTTTGTGGCCAGCGGTTTAGACATTGATGGCCCTACAAGTGGAAGGTGAGTAAATGATGACAGAATTTTTATTCTGAAAGTGAACTACTTCTTTAAGTAAGTACTTATTGAAATTAGGTACCTACTCATTGAGTATGTGGTTTTGATGCAGCCACAGTCTTATTATTGGGATGAGAGGGTCTGTATTATTTACCATTGGGAAAAGCGTAATGGCTAACGTGAGGCACCTCAGCCAATCATACAATGTCAGTGACATCAGTGGCCGGCTTTCACGGTTCTACGACAGTCAGTTATAGTTTACATGGTACAGTAAAAAAAAAAAGAGCGCAAATTGTTGGTCAATTACTGGTCACTACTCAACTTGAGATTTGGTTTTATTCTGTTCATTTAAAAAACAGCATGATTGGGCATTCATAACACAAAAAATGTCAGTTATTTGTTGAAATCTGGAAGCCATAGAAAGAATATATTTTATTTTCATTAAACGACACACAATATAATAAAATAATTGAAACAATTCATGTCCTTTATTCATGCATTATATCAAAATAAGGCATATGGTCACATAATAGTCATTACATTTCAAAGAATGAATGAGGAATTTTTTATAGCGCTTTTATTGTGTATTACAATCATTTGAGGAGGTCTCTCCTCAACCACCACCAGTGTGCAGCATCCACCTGCATGATGTGACGGCAGCCACAGCACAACGGTGCCAGTGCGCTCACCACACACCAGCTACAGGTGGAGAGGAGAGAGAGTGATAGAGCCAGTTCAGTGAATGGGGATTATTAGGAGGC